ATGATGATGATGATGATGATGATGATGATGATGATGATGATGATGATGATGATGATGATGATGATGACTATGCTGATGATGATGATGATGATGACGACGGTGATGATGCTGGTCATGGTGATGGTGATTATTGTTGTTATTGCTGTTGTCGTTGTTGTTGTTGTTGTTATTGCTGTTGTTGTTGTTGTTGTTGTTGTTGTTGTTGTTGTTGTTGTTGTTGAACTGTCATTTCTGAAGAATAATTATTGTTGACCCCCCCGTCCGGTGCACGTTGATTTTTTCAATTGAAGTGCCCTTCCCGGGGCTCGCACCCTGTTTTTCATCAGGGAAAGTCTTGAGGGTCAAACTGTGTCGTTGGCCCCCGGTTTTTACAACAACAACGGCTCCCGCCTGATACTTCCTCACAATCTATTGAAGAATCGCGCTCTCGCTTTGGACTTCCTTGCAATTTACCACTGGATCGCGGTTCCCGCTTGATACTTCCTCACAATTTATTGAAGAATCGCGTTCTCGCTTGGGACTTCCTCGCGACTTGCCACCGAATCGCGGCTCCCGCTTGATGCTTCCTCACAATTTATTCAGATGCCGCCCCTCGACACTCAGGAATGGCGCTCCCGCTACATATTGCCTGGCGGTTCAAGCAGAATTTACGCTTCAACGACCCGCCCGCTCGACCCGCCCGTCTGGGCCTGCCCGCCCGACCAGCCCGTTAGGGACTGCAGTCGCCCCTCGCTGCCCTTCGCTGCCTTCGATGCCCCTCGCTGCCCGTACTGGTTCCGCGGTCGCCTTCTCTCGCTGACTTTCGTGGCCCTGTGGCCCCGTCGCTGCCCAGTGTGGCCCCGCATTATATGCCCTTCGTGGCCCCCGCTCGCAGTCGCCCGTCGTGGCCCCATACGCATGCCCTTCGTAGCCCCGCTGTCGCCCTTCGTGGCCCTCTCGCTGCCCTTCGTGGCCCCTTTGCTGCCCTCAGTGGCCTCGCTGTCGCCCTTTGTGGCCCCATAGAAGAATGCCCTTCGTTTCGTCTTTAAGGGCTTCACCAACCACACGTGGCAGGGAATGAATATACCCCCCAAAGGGGGTACGATCGAAGACGACGAGGGCGGGTATCCAGGGTTCGGGATATGCATATTGAATGACACGCGAGCAGATAAGAGCGAACAGTCTTAAAACGATTGTTGTTGTTGTTGTTGTTGTTGTTGTTGTTGTTGTTGTTGTTGTTGTTGTTGTTAGTATTATTATCATTATTAAGATTGTGGTTGTTGGTATTATCATTTTTTAGTGTTCTTATTATTTAGATGAGTATTCGTATTCGTATCATCATTGTTAGTATCATTATTATTACGATTATTAACGTAATTATTATTACTACTAGTTCGACTATTATCAATAATCGTATTGGTATTACGATTCGTATTATTCTTCGTATTATTTATTCCTATTCTTATAATAACGGTTATTGTTATTGCTATTATTCTGATGTGGTTATGTTAACAGTGAGGAGGAGGATGATGATGATGATGAGGAGGAGGAGGAGGAGGAGGAGGAGGGGCGTTCCATCCTCCCTGCCCAGCCGCGAGGTGACCTCATTGTGCTGGCACCCAGAGTCCGACTCGGTGCTTGCGTCGGGCGGCTACGAGGGCGACATGCACTTCTGGGAGGGGAGGGGAGGCAGGAGGACTTCTTGTCAGCATCGAGATGCGAGGGCGTTTTTCGCGGGTGTCGGCCTCTGGAGGTCTGTTTCGGTCCCCTGGACCGTCGAAGGTCGATCCACGATGGACCCCCCAGAAGGGGTCCTGGGAGTGATTGCGAGCGGATTGATGGCGAGGAGGAAATCCATTCTGGTACAAAGGATAATCACGCGAAGGGCAGCAGCATTAAGAGACAGAAGGTTAAGCATATGAATCATACGAGTCGTAAGGACGAACATTGCAACGACAAGCACAACAATAACACGACAACGTATAGTATCAAGAAGAAGCAGGAGCAGATGGAGGAGGAGTGGGCTTGCGAGCTGTTCTTTCCGCCTTTCGTCCACTCGGCTTTCCTCCTCCAGAAGATGACGCTGTAAACAAACCAAGAGTAGGGAGAAAGGATGAAGATGATGATGATGATGATGATGATGATGATGATGATGATGATGATGATGATGATGATGATGATGATGATGAGGAGGAGGAGGGAGGGATGAGGAGGAAGAGGAGTGAGGGAGGAGGAGCAGGAGGAGGAGTAGGAGGAGGAGGAAGGCGCAGGGAGGAGGAGGAGGAGGAGGAGGAGCGACAGGATGAGTCTAGTTCAGCCCCTGGGGCGCGAAGATGCTCGCGCTTCGCGCATGCGTCGCGCCTCGCGCAGCGCATATCCAGGGCGGCGGCGCGAGTGCGCGGAGCTGACGGCGCGCCGCGCCTCGCGGCGGCGCGACGGCGCGGAGCTGGGCGACCCGGCTGGCGCGGCACCCGCAGGCGCATGGTGTACGGGCGTGGGCCTGGGCGGCTGCCGGCCCAGGCGGCGCGGGTGCTGGCAGGCCGAGGGCGGTGGCGCTGGCGGGACGAGTGCGTGCGTGGGAGAAATCATTTTTGGAAGCTGGGCCCGCTCTTCTGAATGGCGTCCGACGGCCCAGGGCCCTTCCGCAGGTAGCCTTCGTGGAGCTTCGGGCGTGGCTCGAGGCCGGCGCCCTTGCGCCCAGCAAGGGGGCGAGCAACCACGGGCCTGCTCCACATGATCTTCCCATGCCAGAAACAAGTTTAAGCTTCATGAAAAAAATCGGCACCCAGGGGTGATCCTCCCAGCCGGGTTGTGGCACTGCCAGGGCAGAGCGCGCCCCCTCCTCGTCCAGCGTCCTCCGTGCCCCGTTCTCCTGCGTGCACCTCTGCCTCCTCGGCCCCCGCCCCGTGTCTTCTTCTCCCCTTTCTCTCTTCCCCCTAAGTCTTCCCCCTGGCACCCCTGTTCGCGTCCCTTCCCCTTCCCCTTCCCCTTCCCCGCCCCGTCCTGCCCGTGGTCCCTTCCTCCTTGTTGGTCGCAGCGTAAGACATCATTGCGGACGGACATGGGCGTGTCGTACGAGGCTTCCTCGCAAGTCGCCTTTTTGAGTCTCGACTTTTCTAACGGGTGTGCGGATGGAGTACGTCCAACGTTTTTTTTTTTTTTTTTTTTTTTTTTGGGGGGTGGGTTTTCTTCTTCTTATTCTGCTTCCTCCTCCTACCTTCGCGCCCTGGACATCTCGGTTCCAAGTTTGCATCATCGGTACGAATGGATGGCTTTTTGTATTTAGTATTTGGCTCTTGAGTGAGTGCCGCTCTGCCCCCTGCCTCGAACGTTTTGCGCCGCCTGTTCCATGTGGCTTTGTCTTGCTGGCCGCGCGCATGTCAGCGGCTTCGTTCTTCGGATCAACGTGGAACGCGTGGTGTGTTATATGAGCGAACATGTGGTGCGAGCTTGCAGTGCAATACACGTTGTGCATTTATTTGTGGACATCCGCGCGTGACCACCGCGCGTGTTCGAGCAAACAGCCGTCCCGCCCGACAACAACGCGTTGGATTAACTCAAGGGGCCGTCAGTGCAATGACCCATCGAAGCTCGGAAGTGAGTTTGGGCGTGCGCAATGACGTGCGGACCGTGTTCGTGTAGATCCACAAGTCATTGGGGCAGGCCAGTGATGATGGTGACGATTGCATCGGCGACGACGACGATGATGAAGCTGGTGATGGTGGCGGCGATGATGAGGATGGCGACGACAACGACGATGACGATGATGGTAGTGGTGATTACGCCGTTGGCGATGGTGATGTACATGACGATGACAATGATGACGTTGGCGATGATGACGAAGGTGTTGGCGAGGATGATGAGGAATTGCGCGTGCGCGCAGAAGCCAACACATGGTAACAAAAACAATGATTTTTGTATGTTATCAATGGTTTACCTTGAAGCGATTCGGGAACCAACGGTTTTGCACTGATGTCGACATGGGCGCGCGGGGACGCGCGTGTGGTCCGCGTTGAATGTTTTGACAGGCTTCGTGGGTGCGCGATGATTGTTGAACGATTCTGACATGCGCGTGCGTGTGGCACGCATGGTCCCACTTGGTATAATGACGCAGATCCATGGTTTTCTTCTGATTCCACGGACTGCGCGCACAAAGCTTGTCGTGTGTGGAGGAAACATTACGTTTGACACATTTGGCGTTGATTTTTTTGAAGCGCAGGCTTTTGGACGGATTTTACAAGGGCGCGCATGTTCACCGTATTGCATTATCGGATACGGATGCATTGCAGACGCATTTGCAAGATCAGCGCGCGTGCACCGAATCGCATCATTCGGCATGGGTGAAGGGGGAGAGGCCGATAACAAGACTTGTCGGGATAATGCTATTTTATGTTCGAAATATGCGACCGTGCTGAAGAACTGACAATCCAATGCGCAGAGTGGTGCTGTTAAGTCTGGCCTTCACAAAAGGGTTGAGTCCAAATCACGTGTGCAACCGGTGTGGAGCAATCGAATATTGTGCAATCCGTGTTGCGCAGTCTGTGTGGTTCAGCACAGGAAGTGCAAAACATGTGGTGCAACCTGTGTGGTGCATCTCAGAACGGCCAGCCTGCGCACCACTCGGCGGCGAGCCTGGGGAGGGGAAGTGAGAAACGCGCGGGCCTTCGCAGCAGGCCCGGGAGGTCCCCGGCTTGCTAGGAAGTTTCCTGAGCTTTCCATGGGAAGTTTGAAAACCTCTGAGAAGCCCCGCCGCCTTCTGAGAAGGCCTTTCCCCTCGCAGTTCCCCCCCCCGTCTGTCGCCGCCGAGCGAGGTAGCGACGAGGCCGCGACGGGCGCCCACCGCGCGTAGAGCCTTGGGGAACCCGGCCACAGAGCCCGCGGGCGGCGACGTGACGCGGCGGGCGCCCCCCGCGCGGTAAAAGCCTTGGGGAAGCCAGCAAACGCGCGGCCACGACATGTTCGCGACGGGAAGGAGGAGGAGGAGGAGGAGGAGGAGGAGGAGGAGGAGGAGGAGGAGGAGG